GATTGCTTCTAGCGATGGATGGGAGGTACACGTCCAAATTCCCCTGAAAAGCCAGAACTACGGTGACTTTTTCATGTACCATGTCACATCCATACCGACTCACTTCATGAACTCGACAATAGCTCTGCAGACGGATGTTGGCGCGGAGTTTTTCGCCATTTCAAACGACCAGCGACTTCACATTGAAATCACCCAAGAAGACGTCGAACAATGCAAAACGACCACCAAGAAGACAATTTGCCAGCGATTCGCACCCCTCATCAGAGAAACACGCAAGGGATGCCTATACCATGCATTCAGAGACGACCGTGCAGCAGCTGACCAAGACTGTACCCGGAGGATCGTCCGGACGAAACCCCAAGTTTACTCGCTGTCAGACCACCAGTGGCTCTACGCCCTCCCTCAAGAGGAACTTTTCGCCATGCAATGCGCCAAAGACAATGAGCCTTCCAAAGGATTCAGACTTCAGGGCACCGGAGTTTTCTCCCTGCCACCCGGATGTGCGGCGATAGGAGACCAGTATATCATACCGGCCCATCTGAGAGGAGAGGCACAAGCCAGGGACTTTGACCTAGATGACCTGACACACTTCAAGTTGAACCTGAACGTCTCAGCAATCTTCAAGCGTCTTTCGGCTACAAAGGATCTCGACCAAACTGTCCTGGAACAGATAATTGACACCATGCCAGCGTCCGACGAAGAGGCTCCTAAACTGTCCGAGTTGAAAAGGAAAATGGCCGAGTGGGACCAGAAGCCGACCAGTGACGTCCGCGAAGTCTCAGTGATTGGCCACACTTCAATCTCCATTGGAACTCTGGGAGTGATTGGAGTGGTGATCCTCGCCATCTTCCTATGCCGCAGAAATGTCACACCCAACAGCACACACGTCATCCAAAGCCCTCCGGCAGTATCCGCCCCAATCAATTCCGAAAGCCCGAACTCAGCCATGATTTCGCTGCAGACACGAATGAGTTCCCTGGAACGGGCAATGGCCGAAACAAAAGAAGAAGCCTCAAGGGTCGCTACGGTACAGAAACAAATTCGGGAGCTACAAGAAAAGTGCGAAGAGCTGCTGTAATCGGCAAGAACGAAATATCCTACCCAAAGGACCAATCCTCAAAAGGTAACTTCCTTTCAGCCATCCTACCCATTCCAAGGGTCATGCACAGGACCCAAGTGATCCTTTCCTTTCCCCCAGCGATTCCCAAAACCCCACGTTTTTTCAGGAACCAGATGAACAACGTCGCCACCAAGGAGGAGGAGGAGGAGGCAAGGGCGCTGCCGTAAAGCGCCCAGGGCCCAGCGTCAAAGGGCTCGAGCTACACGACTACGCCAGCTGAACCGGAATGGACCCAACCGACCGAAGGGCCTCGCCAGGCGACGAACTGGAGGCAAGGCCCAGGACTCCGCACCCAAGTTGCCACAGGCGAGCCACGCTGGACTTCGGGCAAATGTGTGGGGGTGATGTACAGATGTGATGATGCGCGCGCGGTGTGTGTGATAGGTTTAAGTAGTGAAGGGCGCCTACCACCTGAGAAGGCAACAGGTGTGTAGTGTGTACCGACCGGCCGACCTGTCGGGACTCTACCCTAGAAATGTGGGGAAACGTTCGGGGAAAAGGGGCGGGGGCGTATATCATGTAAGCTAGGTTAAGGTAAGGGGTGGCAAGGGTCTGGCCTCAAGGGAAACTCACATCCAGTCCAGTCACAACGTCCAGTCACTAGAAGACCCCAGAGCCACTCACCCTATCGTCCAAAACCAAAAACCCACCCATCCCGCTCTTAATGGTCACAGAAGCAGGCGTCGCCGCCCTAGACATCGAGGGAACACGCGGATCTGCCAGTCACAAGGCCTCCGGACCTTCGTACAAGACACTCCACTTCAATTGTGAGGGCACAATTAAAAGAAGAAGCCTGAAAATGTAACAGCTGAATGCTGTGACATTTTTTTTCATCAAAATCTCACCTTTTTCATACATATAAACTGCCTCACATAGTACCCTGTCTGCCGGGACGCCGGAGCCAAGGAGGAGACCGGGTCACACGCCCGAGCAGCTGCTGCCATTAAGGCGGCTGACGCCCCGAGATCAAACGTTCGCCGACGGGTGGAGTACACACAAACCATCCGGCGCCGAGCCAGTCCGAGACACTCCGGCGCCATGACATCCGTTCGCAGCAGCTGTATGGGCCAGCCGCCCCCACCATCGCTAGAGCCAGGGCAGGAAGGGCATCCGGTGCAGGCTGGTGTAAAGGAAACGTCGCATCCGGCGCAGCCCAGAACCGACACCCGGCGGAAATCGAGTGTGAAAACGTCACATCCGACACCGGCAACGGGGGCCGACTCCAGCGGAAACAGCGGAGGAGGGGAGAAATCCGAAGCTTCGGCCACGCCGGACGTGCTTCCTCTCGAAGCCCCGGTCAGGGGGCTGCCGCCGGAGATCAGCCAGGAAAGGACCGATTAACTGTCCCGGTCACAGAAATCGACCCCCCGCCGGAACCGGATAACCAAAGGAATAAAATCGGACCGCAGAAGAGGAGAGGGACAGAACACCCGGGGAGTCTCTGCCGGCTGGACGAGTGCTCTCTTCCTCTGACTCTCTGGTGCAACACTCATCAAGAACAAGACCAATCTTCGACGCCGCCAAAATCAAGTGAGTCATCAGCAGAAGGCTGCCTGCCACTCCCAGCCCTCCAGCCATGCCCACCACACACGCATTCTCTCCCCCTTCCCCCATATCTACCGGGCGTCTACCCCAGTCTAGACCTACCGTCCCGTAGGGTCAGGCCTTGCCACCATTAGCAGATAGGGACAGCTGCGGGGTTGAATGATGGGAATCGGGGGCGGCAGTGCGGCAATGGTTCATTTACATTTGCGTCGGAGCCGGGACCATTTGCCGACCATTTACGCTCCTTTGTACGCGACCGCCAGGGCCGGGGGTAGGTGTGAGGACGGGATAGGAGGGGTGAAAGTTCTGACATCATTAAGTGACGTCATGCGGCATCGGTCCCCGTCCGTCGGGCCAGCGCGCCGCAAATGGTCAAAACCATCTGGTAACGTGTCACTTGAGGCGCCGCGATGCTGTCACTAATTAAGTCTAGAATTAAGAATAAGGCAGGCCGCGTTTGTTGGGGTTAGGTTTAAGTAAACAACGGGATTGACAAGTTGACAATCTCGAGTACGATTTAGCAATAGCACATTGGGTAGTTTTGTCATAAATTGTCCGTGTAGTGTAAAATAAAGCGTGAAAAATTAAACAACCTGTCTGGGAAAGGGAATGGGTAGCTGTATTGCGTTGCGAGACGAGTATCAAGGAGGTCATTGATGCCAGAACCATCCACTTACGATCAGTAGTCACATGGTGGAAATATGACACCCCGCACTGCACACACAGCGACCGAGGTTGAGTACCACACGCAGCGGAGCGGTCGGTCGGGCCAGGGGGTCAACTGTCACCACGACGGAGCTATGAGCGCCTGTCTGGGCGTATAACACAGAATTGAGTCAGCAACACCTCATTTCGCAGTCAATCCGGCACACCGAAAGCAGAGAAGATTAATGTCGTCCAGATTTTCACGAAATGAACTGTCATTTGGTGCTAATTCCAGTCACCTGCACGCAATGTTATATGTTTATGCGGAATTCCTTAAAGTGTTCTCCCTTTTTTTATCCGCCTCACCAACCGTCAGCCTACCAAATCGTGCCTTGTTCCGCCTAATTACCATCAGCGTTCATAAAGATGTGACGAACCCACGCACCCCAGACTTGAATTGAAATTTAACGTCAGATCGCCGCCAGTAGTAACTTGATGCCTAATATAATGCCGTCTATTAATGAAATGTCTCAAGGAGTCAATAAAACCAACCTTTAAAGTAAGGTGAAACAAGAGGCGCAGCTCATGGCATATCATCATGTAAATTCCTGTAAATCAGCGCTTGATCCCTGGGCAAGGATATCTTCAGCGACCGGTTACATTTATCCTTGCATTGAGAACCCAAACCAGTCATAGCTTACTTTTACGCATTTTGTCATACCCATGATAGACGCCTTACGTTACCTCGAGGAACGCAAAGAGGTCACAATTACTTCGTATGCCAGTGGTCCATTGGTGGTGTGCCTAGAGTTGGTGTAGAAAGATTTCAGAAGCCCAAAATCTGAGTAAGAACTTTTTGTTTCTTGAAATCGTCCCAATCGAACCGTTCAATACGTATTACAAACCGTTCAATACGTGTTAATACAGGATTTCTCTAACAAGAATAGGTTACAGGACAACTGATAAGGGGGTTTCCCACTCCGTAGTAATCAGCATTCTAAATCGTGTTTGTCTTATCAAGTTTAAGTATCGCCTTCCCAGACCCCTGAACGCGCTGCACGACCTTAAAATTATTCAACAACGACAAAGGGGTTCGTGCAACGAACTCAGTAACGTTCATAATTGGACCTCAGTTCGATGCGGTTAGCTCGGGTTTTCGGTAATCTTTCACGGTTCCGCGCGAAGCCTTACATTCCTGGCTTACTGCAAAACCCATCCCACCAGCACGAAAGGGAAGGGCCACTTTGGCATGCACAAGCGTCAATTCCACTTGCGGTGTGACCCCTGGTCAGAACGACACGCTGCCAACGCCACCTACATCTCTAACGTCGGCCGGTGCGTTCCGTTGTCAGTGCCACCACGCAGACAAGCTAAGCACGCGCTCGCCACCTAGCGTCCGGTATACCAAGCTTTAGTTTCCAGCCCTGCCGTGAGAGATCGCAGTTGTGCGTATAATCTTACCAATAAGTCAGAAAAATCGTGATAACGACGCAAAGCTCCGTATTATTCCGGTATCTTAATACATTAACAACTTTGAATTAACCTGAATTAACCAAAATTAGCCCTTGTAAGCATAAGAATACCTCAAGGTTCTAGCAGCCGGATAAATTACACTATCTCTTTGAGAACCAGATCGATCTAATCTTATTCTTAACGACGCAGATCGATCAAGGAAGTCGTTGAATCTCACGCCATGGATGCAGCTGATACCACCGCCGACCGGAGAAGCGTGGCGATTTACACAGCTCTCAGTTGTGCCCCCGACGCGATCAATCCGGCACGCCGTTTGGTCATCCTGACTGGGAAGAAATGATAATTCGAGTCAGGTCAAATCTACCAATTACCAAATGGCAACGTCCGATTCCATTCATCTGAAGAATCATATTCACATCGGAGAACGTAATGGCAAATCGCTGGTCGCTGAAGGGGTGAATCATTAACATGGTCACTAGTCCGTCAAACGGTGCGGGCTACCTAGGAAATCCTTACACTTATCCCCAATATTGGTCAAAAATCCGAGAGAGGTGGGATACTGTGTGTCAAAGTTGAACCCTGAATTATGAAACGGGTGCGTTACTCAAGTCAAACATGGCAAACAGTACTTAACTAAAGTAGGGATTGAAATGCCTCATTGTGTCAACTAGCAGGGTGCATCTTCAATGAACGAGAACTGAGGGGACTACTGCGGTAACGCTCACTGAATTGCAGACTGTCAGATTCCAGTAACATTAGGAGTCAGGGGAGCGGCTGTGAGGTTCGGACAGCGCCTGGTCTACTTTCGGTGTCATTTGCTCGTTGTATCAGTCTAGTTCGAGTGAATTTTTAAAATGTTTGATGGTTTCAATTGGCTATAAGTTCAACTTCCATGTACCATAATTTAGATAAAATTTGTGAGGCCATCTGCCATAGGTGATAGCCATAGGTGAAATATTCTAAGCATCATTTCATGTAAGCGCATGATATTGAATCTTTTCACTGATTGATGGCAATTATGTGAGCGATTGATCCCCACACAAAGATAAATTTGGTACAATGAACAGGACGTAGGCGTGATCCCACTCAAATCTGGGCAACCGATTGCGTTTGTGTTTGGAAATCGCACCTGAACAAAAATTAGTCAGACATGCTCCATCACACCGCATCAAGGACTTAACAGCCAGACACAAACTAACGGGAATTTGAACCCCAGCCCTACTCCCAGCATGAGAGCAACATCTCCATAGAAGGTACTTTGATTACACCCCTTATACAAACATTTGTTAAATCATTCAGATATTTAAATTAGAAGGATTACATGATAGCTCAATTAACGTACACCAAGGTGAGTTAACTTTTGTTTTGTTTTGCCACAAGCACTCCCTATAGCTGGCCTGGTAAACATCAAGGATCACCTGTCCCGTTGCTATTGACACAGCCGATGACTGATGAGCAGGAACAACCATATGACCTTGCCGCGCCGAGCCCCAGATGACCTCCACCCCGATCTCATGTGCAACATGGAAAGCTACTGAATATGTTATGTCAGGAAGGCATCAAATTTTGGCTTATCCAGTTTTTTAATAGCAGCCAAGAAGTAAGGCTATCAGTTCAATCCGGATTCAAAAGGGTCCACCCTGCGAGACCTGAGCAACTCACCCGCATTTCGGAATCTCTGTATTGTTTAAATTATTTGATGTTTTAATTATTTGTTCATGGCAAAAGTAACCACTCATTATATCAAGTAATATACGCTGAATGACTTGTATTTTTTTTGATTGTTTGCAATCATATCCGACCTGAACTAAATTCTGCCCAACAGATAGTACCTACAAGAACCCATTCATATTGTGCAGTGAATTCAAACTTGAGCCTCACACGTGGGTCTAGCAGGGCAAAACAAGTGAATTATATGACATATCTCACGAAATTCAAAAAAAAGGGCAGTCAATATATCATTTGAAATTGAGCTGAGTCCGGAGAATCAAATTGAGGTAAATTTTTTGCGCACACCTCACTTACCAGTTCGCCATAAATACTTACGAACCAAGAGGAATTGCGGTAAAGATCTAGGTCTAATATCAAAATTTATCGATAACCCCACCCAATTTACAGCGAAACTAATAAATTTCCACAATTATCACCGAGTCCACGCCGCGGCAAAACCCAACATTTGAAAACCAGCGTGGGTTCAAGGTTAGGGCATGGATGAAGTATTCCTGGATAGGACACTCCCTATTCCCCAACACTAGCGCCGGCGACCAAGCGGCCGCCCTGGTGGCGGAGCTCCGAAACATCGGCGGCGAGTGCGCCGGCGGCCGCCGCATTGGCGTGCGTGCTAAAAACGCGGTAATGGATGGCGAAATTAGCGAACTTTAGCTCATAAGACACGATTTAAGAGACTTCACACATATTTTAAGTTCTTTCTTATAATTATTATGGCTCCATTTAGTCACTATCACATACGGAATCATTACCTGATGCCCATAAACTGAGCCGGTATTCTTGACTTGCCGATGCAATTTATCATCAAATATCATCGTTCCTCGGCAGTCAAACAAGTTCCTATTGATGATTTAATACAAATATCAACTTATTTTCATGTTATCGCATAAAACTTCACTTTATTCTAACATTGGCTCTTCGGCTGTAATCACGAACCCTCACTTGTCAGCAGAATTTAAGCAACTTCTTATATCAAAACTGGGAAAAGAATATTTCCATGACATTCCTCAACACCTGTTCTACCAGGTTCACAAAAATTTTCATCAAAATCGGTTACAGGTAAGTAATAAACGACAAAAGTATACAAAAAGACACGCTCCGCCCATAGCCCGCAATGCTAAAATAACGCCAGCGCCCTCGCCGTCGGGAAATCCGCCGCCGCCGCCGGGTGGTCGGAAAATCGGCGGAGTGTCCAATCCAGGAATACCTAATCCATGGTTAGGGGATTGCGCGAGCAAGATATGCCAACCGAACGCATTTGGTAGCCGAGATCTGCGGTGTCGGCCGGGCGTAAAGCTTTTCCTTCACCACACAGTTGTTGCGCAAACTGCCAAAGTTCCTGCCAGGATATCATAATCCGGGAGTGAAAGAGGGATAAAGTTTCAGCCCCCGTAGGTTCAATGATTCGTTTACATAAGCCCATCTGCTTATCAGGCCATAAGGTAGGTAAAGAATCTGAGTCGCAAAGGGACTGGCCAAAACACAGACCCCGAAATATCACGTTCTTTTGTTTATTTGTTAAGTTAAGTTATACAAAATTTTGAAATGCGGTTACACGATTACGGTTCAAAGGGTATAACACATTTTTTTTTGTTTTGTTAAAGTCACAACATTGCAAACAAAAGGATTTACCAAGGCGATCACGTGACCGAAGATATAGTGGGGGTTGGAACAAACGCTTGAAGGGTTTAAATCTTTGTCTATATGGGTTCCTTGATTAAATTGAGGAATCGCGAATCGTTCCCTGATGTACAAATTTTTGTGTGTAGAATTTTTTCCCCCTCCAGCAAAAATTATATGGGTTAGCCTGGGCCCTATTTCGCTGCCGTCGCAGTACTCCGTCTTGGAACTCCGTCCAGGGCTCCCCCAAATTAATCCGACCTATCTGTGGTAATTATCTTGATGCCGTTCTCCAAGGGCCACGATTTAAAAGACGTCACGAGTCAACTCCCTTGCCAAGGTCAACACTGAGCAATCATAAGAAATAAATGACGTCACTGGTGGAAGTCCATGATGCTTACCAAATTATGGGCGTACTGACGGGCGTAACAATTGTCGCGGAAATAAAAGTTACGTGACTGTTCCTCGTTATTCGATACGTATAAGTCACAACTGCAATTTGGACGAATCTCGATGAGATGACTGATAGACACCGACATACACCTTCATGAACTAGACAGGTAAGGAGATACCCAACTGATTTCCGTGGAATGCTTAGGTATCCCTAACCATGGAGACCAAGGATATGCAAGGAAGTATAAGATTGATGCTAGCCGGAGAGGAGGTATGTTGCAGCACTTCTATGTGCTTCTAACTCTCTGATACGTCGGAACCTGCTTGGACTGGGATAGTCCCTCGTTGAAAGGAAATAATTTATGGTAGTTGAGCAAATAGAACGCCATAAGACGCCCAACAGAGAGGTGAGTTCGTTCAGAAGACAGAGAGTCAGACAGGGGCGAGGGAGCACCCCGCTGAAGGTGAGTGGTAAATACGAAGATGATAGAGGATAAGGCGAAGGAAGCAATACCGCCGGGATGAGGTGAGTCCACCGTCGGAAGGATGGCAGCATGTATCATTCATGACGCTAACGCGTTTGAACACACATCTGCAGGATAGAATTCCACGGCGTCGGATAAAATTGCAGGATAGATTCAGTCATGGAGTCTTCGAGTCACACCGGTCAATGATTCAAAGGCGCCACTTGCGGGTGCCATGACTGCATGAGAGTACTGAGTAGGTACCTGTCTATGAGCCCAGTGAGACTGCGGTCGTCGGGGCGGCAGGGGTTGTGTCCACCGGTTCGTTAGGTGAAAACGTGTAAGACGGTCTCTCACAGAAGGGCTGCAAGGGTCAGTAACCAACGTCCGGCCGCGGGATTTTAGTAGGGAAACTGAGACGTGCCGTGAGCGGCAGGAGAGAGAGAGAGAACCAATCACACCCGTCGACGAACGCTAATAACCAGTCGCTACACCGCGTCGTACCTTTAGACAAGTAATCCGGGTCGAGTGATGTAAGGTTCTAGGCTAAATGGCCGAGAGGGGCCAAAGGAGGGTGCTAGGACGGGCACCAAGAGATCCAGGGTTACAGTGGGGCGCAATAAGTCGTTGTGAGGTGTGATTGAGACAAGAATTATTTTTTTTTAATCCCCCTTACATTTAACACGGAATCCAAAAAAAAAAAACACTTACGTTTATGGCACTTCTATGCACCGCTGGAGGGAGTAGATTTATCGTTGGGAGGGACCGAGAGGTCAACTCGGAAGGAAATTCATCGTAGCGGGATGGGTGTTGTATGAAAGGAAGTGTGCGTCGGTGAAAGATTGATGTACGCGTCGGTAGAATAAGGACCAGCGGGAGATTTGACCCTCAGCATAAAGGTGACCTTAAACTGGGGCATAATCTATTGTTCTTTCGAGACAAAGGAGGAAAAACAGAAGGATTGATTCGTATTTTTATCCTAATCAGACGGTGGCTAAGGGCTGACCCTTAAACGGGAGGCATCAAAATTTGTTGATAGGGGGAGACTTCCACATCCCAAAATTCCTTACGATGCAGACACCATCCCAGGCAGGAAGACTATATGTTGACAAGCGACAAGCCAGCCTCATTATAAATATTGTTTGTGACGAAGCCCAGGCACAAGGAACGGTGGCGGAAGGGAATCGATCAGCTTGAAACCAACGGACCGATCATCACTTGGAAATGGGTGTGTAATTACGTTTGAACAAGAGAAAAATCAAACAGCAAGAGAGTCAACGAGTTAATCAACAATTTGTGGATCTACCAGCCTAAAACACTCACCTGAGGTTGTTCCAGAGCACGGCGCAGGTCGGCAACCATCTCGGCAAGAAAAACACCCCCGATGAAAAAATTTTATTATTAAACAAATTTTTTTTGAAAACATACTCCCCACCGCTTCCGGACCCCCAGGGGGCAACATCACATGTGTTTTCCAAATATTAACGGAAAGTGAAATATTAAGGTACTGATTAGCTCTGGACATCTTAGAGTTTATGTCACTACTGGTATTTTAGCTAGCGTCTACTACATATACAGTACAGGTCGATGAAAATCGTGATGCAAAATTGACAAAAAATGTGTGTTTCAAAATTCCTTAAAATTTATTTTTCTTTTTACCTTAATGCATCATATTGCATATCATTCGACTCGGCTGATGAAGAAGAACACAACGACACCATTTTTGAAGCTCTAGCTTCATTGTCTGTCGTGTTATCTGCAAAAACGTAGTTTGACCCTAGTTGACCTTAAGTGACATGACTGGCTTTGTCTATCATAACATGTTTATTTTCGAAATTTATCTTTGATCTAGGTGTAAACCAAACCTGCTCAGTACCTATTATCTCATGGAAAACAGTGGTTTAGTGGCATTGCTCTCGGTTGGGGGTAAGCTTGGCCACTCGCCCGGGGTTACCCCAATGTGCTAATTTTTATTTTAGAACAGCGATATTCGAAAAAAATGTCATACTTAAGCCAGCCTGCCTAGTCAACCCTCACTACAAACACTTAAACGGTCCTTACATAACATTCGTATAAATGTTACAGTTAGTATGCGAAATCCGTTAGTTTGCAACGCAACTAGTTTCGTTGCAAACTAC